ATGGCATATTTAATTTTTTTTTAGAAATGTTTATTAATAAGTAAATGTCTATAAAAAATATATCTAAAACCTTATGCGTAACACTATGCACGACGCATCTCTAATTTAGACTATTGTCAATTCAGTGTTATATTTACTCATTACAAACATCAATGTATTTTATTCCAGATTCCCTCAAATTCATAAACATGATGGATGTCGATCTGTTTCTTCAAACAAACAGAGAACGATTGGTATTATATTTTAGACGGTTCAAGTTTTTTATCTATACTTTTATAGGATAAAAATAATACAAGAGGGAGAATCAACTCATTTGTTTTTATTAAATCAGTTAAACTTTCGCTTTTGGAAGGATCTCTTGAATTTTGGTTGCATTGTTGTTCGAGATTCCAATATAATTTTTGGAAAATTGTCAAAAGAGAAAATGAAAGACTCGAGAGAAATCATACGTTTGCCATACAATCAATTCGAAATGGGTCCTGCTGTTTCTGAATTAGTTAAACTTCTCTTAGAAAAATCCAAGAGCCTAAACAAAAGGGGAATGATGGTTTCGCTCCCACCTATACCAATGGATTTTGAAGGAGACAACGAAGAATTTGAAGATATATGCATAATGCATAAAATCGTAGACTCAATGTAGGTAATTGGAGCTCCTCTGTATCGATAATCAACTAACATCTAATCTCCATATTTTTACAGCCGGCATATCTGGTGCTACTATATGAATGACAACAAGGCTGAATATACGGAGGGAACATATATCGTTCGAATAGTGTCCAACTTTCTCGACCCATTGTTCTGCTACGAAAATACCAAACTTAAAATTATCTGGTAAGGTTCTAAATAATGTCTAGCCTTAGTAAAAAATTTATGAAATTCTATAACAAACTTTGCATGTGTCATAATAGGGCTGAAGAAGTTTCGGAGGCTTCTCAACGATGGATGGATGATTCTGGGGAACTCAGAGTCAGTCACAAACCTGATTTTTGGGTGAAGTCTTCGATTAATGCTGGTGATGTGGAAGTATGTCTTATGGAGGCTTTGCGTGTTCTTCCGACTGATAAAAAGATCTGTGATGACTGGGATAAGCTGATAAAGCTTATGAAAGACACTCACGTGCAGTTATTGAGGAAGCTCACTAGAGGAAGAGGTGGGGAAATGAAGGACCTGGAAGAAGATTTTAACAGAGTTCCAGTATTTGGTATCCAAGTTGCTGGTATGTAATGTCGCAATTGATTTTTTTTCCACTTATAAATAACCTTTCCTACTTTTAGGAGGGACCATGGCGTGTTGGGTTATGACTATGCCATTTGGAGCTTTCTACTTTGTTCAGCTTCTTGGATCAGTACAAATCCCTATGAATCGAGGCCAGTCTTCGCTTGCTGGATTTGTGAATGAATTATGAAAGTTGAGGGTAATCCTATCATCTTTTGACAGAATATGTGAGAGTTGGATGAACAAAGTCTTGGTAATTAATAGAATTATTTAATACATGGGCAACCCTGTGGAGACACATCAGCATCCTTAATAAGATTGTGGAAAAAGTTGATGCATTTTTATATGACATCTCCACAATCTCAGGAGGATGTGCCCCTTTATGGAGGAGAGTTGGTCACACCACAATCACCATAATTAAAGCTTACTAATGCAGGTATTAGAGCAAGCTAACTCACATCTACCTGTAATTAAATAATATTACAAATAAAAAATTTATTACTATGAGATATCGATCCTATTATTTTTTGCATGCTGATATGGGTAATTGGGTTACAAGATGAAAAGCATCAATATTATTTAACTCTAGATATTCACATACCTCTTCATAATCGAATACTGCTTTTGTATCTTGTATCTTCTTATTTAAGATAATTACATTCCCCCTCATCCATGATATGTACATGTTTTGATATAGTAAATACTGTTTTGGGTTCGTAGTAAATTTGTGTCTATTATTTTTAGAATTGCAAGACATAATAATTATTATCAGCAGATCTGGCATGAGTAATAGATCAAGACATACAAATTCAAGTGAGTCAACCAGTGTCCAGTTTTTGGTCATGATCAGGATAAAATTTTTCTGGATAGACTAATCATATTAATATACCATTTTGGAGAGGAACTAGAGAAATGTCTTACTATTGCCACTATAAACAAATCAATGAAGAACACGAGGCCCAGAAAAGGTCAATGGTGAGGTTAGATACACTCCCCTAAAAAAAGTATCGACTCACTTGATGATCCGCGAAAATAATCGGGTAAATGGGTAATACAAATACT